GAGTATTAGGGAAAGTTATTATATGGTGAATGCACCTGCAGAACAGACTTCTCCAGTATAGATTCTTTACATGGCTGGAGCCATATTACTAGATACACTGTGGGCATAATGAATCTAAGGAATCTCTTGGAAGAATTAATTAATAAATGTTGAAGTGGGTTTGATAAAGGAAGTGATCACATGGGTGAGGTCCATGTCCAAGGGGGTATAAATAACTTAGTACTGACTTTGTTGAAATCCATTTGTCCTCCATCCAACTGCTTTTGAATAATATCCCTCAAGGTAAGCCTTTCTGGATGTACTGTATAATATGGGAACCAGGAATAAAACAATGTAAAATAAGCTAATTTTGAGTGTGGAGTTGTAGAATAAAGTATAGGTAAGAGATTTGGGATAGTACTCTATTTTAGAGCTGTTAGATTTATAGCCTCATGGCCTGATAAATATTGCAAGGTTTTGTAATAGAAATGAATGCAATATTTGAGTTTAGAAAAGCAGATAATCATTGCAGGTTCATATTTGAAAACTGACATATAAATATTCATTTATTTGGCTGTAAAAAGCTCCATGCCTGACTTGGAAAATCATTCTAAATTTAGAGTAACCTGTGACTGTAGTTAAAAATCAATCTATTATCTTCTGTTTAATGATTACTACTGCAACACTTTTAGCTTCAGAATAATTCTTTGCACACATTTCTCTAAGGACAAGCACACCCAAGAACTTGTAGATTCCAAACAACATCATATTTACGATTAGTAAAATTTATGGTACATTAGATCAGTCTCAACACAGATTAGAATGAATGTTTGACTACAAAGTGGGAGAGATTTTTGTGATATGAAACAAGCTAATAGATTGAATTGCAGACTAACTGGATTCAGTACAAGTCATCCCAGAATATGTCTTCACTTACACAGTGTTTCATAATATCTACATTTAAGTATAATGCAAAGAATTGTTTAAACATCCTGTTAGATCAAGGAAGATGCAAAAACTGTTTGCAAAACAAAGGAAACTTCAAGTGTACCATTTTATTGCTAAACAGCACTTTCACGGAGTCTGCTGGACTCAGAGCAACACCAAAATAAAGATTTTTATTCAGATTTATAGAGGACATTGAGAAAATCTGAAGGATACATAAGGCTCATCATTGCTCTAGTATTTGCATTTACTATGATAGAGGTAAAAACTGAATTGTATTAAGCAGAAATATATCCAGGCTACAAAAGGATGATTTCCTAAGCTGATAATAGAAGCATAGAATCATAGAATTTAAGGGTTGGAATGGACCTTACAGATCATCTAGTCCCAACCCTCCCTGCCATGGGCAGGGACACCTCCTCTTCCCATTCCCAGATTCAAGAGATAACATTTTGCCTAATATTTTACTTAACTCACCAGGCACAACATCTGCTGAGTGGCTTTTTTCCTTGTCTTTGGATTAAACACAAAATGATTGTAATTCTGCTGGTGTCTATGTCCATGGTGGTGTGCAGTGGTAAGTGGCAATGTATTTTTATGGTTATTTGACATTGATGTCAAAATACTATTTTAAGTATGTGTATTTGGAAACAATCCTTTAGAAACACACCTTCTGTACCCTCAAATCTTGTTGTTAAACACCCTGTTGTTCAGCATTTATTTATGAAGTAATTACATCAATGTTGCAAAAAACCAAAAAGCTCCAGTTTTGAATTTTACTATGAGTAGTGTTATTTTCTTCATATAACTCTTTAGATTTTATTTTCATGAGTGAATGAACTTTCCAGAGACATGGATGGGCAAATATTTCTGCAGCCCCTGGACTGTGTAGGAATGTCAGTAAGAGTTGCAGTGTGCAAGAGAAAAGGATTCTTAGAAAGCCTAACACCATTTCTGGTTGATCCATTGGGTTACTTCTATAGGAAAAAGAAAACTCAGAATCTCAGCATACACAGACTCTGCACCAACCTACTTCAGCTTCAGCAGTTGCCTCTCTTCTGAGGGGTTGCTTGCATTGGAACAGAGAAAACACAAAACACATGAGCTGTGGAGAGAAGTCAGTGACAATAATCACATTTGCCACTGCAGTGACAGAGAATGCCAATAATACACCTGTTATTCATAAGGAAAAAGAGGGAGGAAGGCTATTTTTATATCTTGATAGTGCACTCAGAACTATCTGGGCACTCATATTTTTTTCTGACATAATATTTGAAAGAGATTTCCCCAAAACCTCTTAAGGCTGTGCAGCAGTTTATCGATTCGTTACCATCAGCTAAGCACAATCTGAGCACGCAGATTTAAAACATTACCATGTTTAGTTTTGTAGAGGGCACAATCTGAGCACGCAGATTTAAAACCTTTCCATGTTTAGTTTTGTAGAGAATTTTTGATTTATTTTTATGTGGGATCTGTTCTGCTGATCTCTGCGTTGAGACCGAAGCAAGTATCTGTACATGAAGTAGCATCTTTGAGAGGAGTTAATGTGATTTACCTTGAATAAATCAAATAGGTTGAATTTGCTGCATCCTGATCTTTCCTGGCACAATCGAGTTTTCCACTTCCCAAGGATTGTAATGACTGCATCCATGCCTTGTATTATGACATTTTAATGAGCCACAATTGCAAAAAACAACTGGAGGTGCACTGATGTCTTTTTTAATGGGCTTTTTTTCTGGCAACACTTCAGATAACTGAATCATAGTCACAGCTCAGAAACAATTTTACATGTAACTGAATGTCGAAAGAAATTCTATGGGAAAGGTATACAATGGGAAAGTCCAAGGGCTGATGTATCATAGAAGTCTCCTCAGGACATGTGCCAAGTTTTTTTGCAGGTTTCAGAAAAAGGCAAGAGAAGCTGATATCCCTAGGGTCTTCTGAGATTTAAGGATTGATTTTTGTAGTGCATTATTTCACTGGCTATACAGGGAATTACATGGGACCAATAGCTCTAAATACATGATACCAAAAGAAGAAAAGAGAAAAATTAATCCAGAAAGTATTTTATCTTTGTCCCTTCCCCCACAATTTAAACAGAATTCAGCAATCTTGTTAGCAAATATTGGTTCATTCATCTTGACTTAATGACAATTAGAATATTGTTATTTGCAAGGAGAGGATGAGAAGAGTCAACAGTTTACTAAGCTGCTGACCCTGTGGCAGAGATTCTTCTCCAGGGGAACTTCAAACATTTTTGAGTTAATTGGGTGTGTGCAGTTCAGTTTGCTGAGAAGAGCTAAGTGCAAGTGAAGGATATTGGAGCAATCACAACTTCCAGAAGCCCTGAACTATGGCTCTATCAATTTTCTTCTCTGGTGTATTTAAACTCAATGAGATGTTCATGTTTTCCAAAATTTTGCTGAAAGGACTAAGTGATCAACAGCTGTTCATCCACAGACACTGAGTTTGAGCCATGGTGTTGTGCAGTGTGTCAAACTTGTCTCTAGATGCACTTGTTAGAACATGACTTGGGGGAAGGATATTTGCTATTGCAGAGGAAATACAGGCTTTGAGCCAGAAAGTAAGTCTCAGATTCTCTTTAGCAAGCATGTGTACAAATATAGCACTCAATGCTGGGGTTTTTATGCAAGGCAAACCACTATTTCACTTGAATCTGATTTCCTCATGGCTGTCAAGATTTCAACAGATTTGTCCCAGTTCTGTGTAAAGGCCAAACTTTATCAGGAGACCTTTTCTGGTTTGTGGAAAGCAATTTTTTCCCCTTGGACCTGCTGTAATTGAGCACACCTCTGATGGATTGCTGTTTATCTAAAGGTTTCTTGTGACCAAGATTTTCAGGAAAATAATGCAAGAGGAAGCACTTCTCCATCTCATTCTATCCCCTATCCATATTCTGAATCTGAATTTGAGAAATGAATTTCTGGGAGCATATGACTGTTGCCATGAACATCTTGTTCACACCACAAAAGTTGTGGACTTCCTGAGAAGGCCCTTACATATGATCTAAAAAAACCACAGAAATCCTATTTTTCCTAACCCTTTGCTAAACATAGTTAAGCTTTATATCTAAAAATCCCACTACTTCACGTTACTCTCTTACATCTATATTTATTGCAGGAAAATGTAACAGATGAGCAAGGCAACTGTCAGCTCTTTCCCAGTATCTTTTGCAGAGAAAAAGAACAGCTTTCCTAATGCCAGTTATCCTGAGATGTAAGATATGCCATGAATTTAACATTACAGGTTTTTCAGTTTTCAGCTTTTACATTCTTGACACAGTAAATACCTTTTACTTATCACATTTTTAGAAAAAAATCCAAGTTTATATAAATCTGAAGTAACACATTGTCTTATGAAATCATTCAGTGGAAAAGAACAGGTTAAAGAAATGGGATGGGAGAGAACAGGTGTAAGATTTCACTCTAATTCAGGACTTGACAAACAGAAAGAAATGAAAGTGTTGAAAACTTGCCAAATATACCACAGCAGCTTCAAAAGGAAAAAGAGATAATTAACATAATAAATAAATAATGATAGGAAAAGGGGCAATGAGGCAATAGCCAAGAAGGACAAAAAACCCTCAAACCACTTGTTTTCAAGTCACCCTGCTTCAAATAAGAGCACAGGGTTACAGACTAGAAACATCTGGGACATAGCTGGGCACTAACACAGGATTATACAATTCTACTGATTTATCCCAGTGAGGGCAACTGTCAGAAAACACAGGAAGATAAGGGTTAGCACATCCTCACCAGCATTACCTATATAGCAGAGTCTGAGTTTTGAGCTGAAGTGGATGAGACTTACCAGTATGATTCTGGGTTTTTCTGGGTGCAGGTGTTGCTGAGCAAGTGTTTCATGGCTTTGCTAAATCAGCTTGCCAGTGTAGGAAGGTACTCAGAATACCTGGAGTGTGTGTGTCATAATGAAATATATGTTGCTGGTTTATTGTGGGGGGATTTTTTTATTATTTTAAAATCTTTTTCTTCTCAAATTTGTTTGCTGAGGTAG